TGACTGCTCAGTTTTCAAGACCCACTGAGTACCTCAGTATGGATCAGGAGGCCCTCTCACTAGATGGTGCCTTGTCAACCTGTCAAATCCCTATTCTAGGATTAAGGTTTGTGGGAGGTATGGTTTTTGTACCACAGGTAGATCTGCTGGTCGGTTGCAGAGGCTGCCTGGTTTACTTTGAGGTGGAGGCTTTGGTTTCCCCTCCCCATGGGGAAACTAGGACTAGAACTGAAAACTTTTTTTTTTTAATTTACTCTGTCACCTTTCTGTTTCACCACATTTTACAGCTGTTCTTTCCCTATTGTTGTTCTCAGTGCTCTTCCTTTCTTTGCTCTTCTGTATGTAGTCTATTCTTTGTTATCCAGACTTATTCATGGAATCTGATAGAGAAGACTTCTGTCCTTCTGCCACACCACCCTTCCTCTTCTGTTTATGTTTAAAAGTAGGATTTGTGGTATAGCAGAAAGGCAAAAGAAACACACACAAAATTATTATAGAATAACATAAAACAAATTCTTCTTATCTGGAGAATATGAAAGTACCTTCCTTAGTAGATAGAATTAGAAGATGAATTTAATGTGGATGAAAGGAAGGAACATTTCGTGGGAAGGTAAGGGAGGCTACAAAAGGGCAGGTGGTGAATGAAGTATGGAGAGTCTTAAGGAACAACTGATAGGATAAATAAGATAGAGTAAAATTGATAAGGCCTCATGTCTTATATTCCTAACATTTACCTCCTTTACTCACAGTATTACTTACCTTAAAGACAGAAGAGAGACTGTATTGTTTATTCTAGAGATATTTTTAATCCTTGTTTATATATATATATATGTATATATATATATAGAGAGAGAGAGAGAGAAGAAAAACTGCCACTAAGTCAGCTTGGGGGCATGATATCCAACTCTAGACACTCATTGTATATTTATATCTTATTGGAAACATAAGATCTTTATGATTAGCAAGATCTTATAATCATTTTACTTTCTTTTCTTTTATTCACATTCCATGTCATCTTATTATCTTTTACCATGAGCACATGTGCCAGAATATCTAATAGCTATAGAGATTCTGTTGGCTTCTGCTGACTCTCCATAGCCTTTATATTACAATAGTGTAATATTACATATTTCATGGTGGCCTTGTGATTAAAAACCTAGACTATGGCAAAAGTGGCTGAATTTGAAACTCCCTGGGAACTGCCACGTTTTAGTTGCATGACCTTGGGCAAATTACGTAGACTCTCTGATTCACAATTTCCTCATTTTAAATTACGGCAGAGGTGGCAAAAGTATCTACATCAAAGGGCAGTTATGATTATTAAATTAATAAGGCCAAAGAACTTATAATAGTGCCTGGCACATAATAAGAACCACATAAAGTTATATTGTTGTTATCTCTAGTAGGGAGAAAAATGTATACTTAATATTTAATATAACTATATACTGTGGTTTTTGTGTGTATGTGTGTGTGTGTGTGGATAAGTGTTAAACTATGTATTTCACTGCCAGGTAAACTCTATACTAAAATTTTTTTAGAGTATTTTTAATTTAAATTGCATTTTAAGTTATTCTTAGGTTAACAATTTAACTTTAAAGGGACTTTAAATTGAACGTAGTAGTATATGCCTGTAGTCCCAGCACTCAGGAGGCTGAGGCAGGAACATTGAGAGTTCAAAGTCAGCCTGGGCTACAAAGTGAGACTTAGTATTGAAAAAGTAAAGAAAGGACTTTAAACACAAAAATCTTTTAACACAATCTTTCTTCTAGTGCCACAGCAAAGGCCTGGCAAAGAGTAGGTTGTAATATTTAATTTGCTAGGTGAATAAGTAGGGTTTCAAAATATTAAACAATTAAAGACAGCTAACTATTGTGCTAAGTAGAGATATGCTGGCTTAAACACAGTGTGGGTAGAAGCAAATTTGTAAAAGTTTCCTACAAGCAATGGTATTCAGTTAAATTCTGAAGGCTGAACAGGAGTTGGCCTCATGAAAAGCAAGAAGCTTAATGTTTCTAGAATGTCTCTGTGTGATATTATCTCAAGCCAAATTATTCAAATGAAAGCAATTAGCTAATGAGAATCACATTATTGGTGTTTATAACACATATTTAGAATTTCATTTTATCTTGTATTGTTCTAACTGATATCAAATTATTACAAATAGGTAGAGATTCTTAATATTTCAGGCTAAAATATACATGATTAAGCTTTGTGAAAATTTTGGTTAGAAGAAATGAGAGCTCTCCTTTATTAAGAAGTTCTGTACCAACCTTGTAATGAGCTCTTTTTAGGAATTCACTTATCTTAACCTAACAGGAAGAAAGTTCTCTTATTTCCCAACCTGATAAACTTAGTAAGTAGCAGAGCCAGAAGTTGAAAGAAAGGGTGTCAAGTACATGCTCTTAATTACTACACTTAGTAAAGTTTTGGAATAACTCCTCACTAAAACTATTGCCTTATTTTTATTTTATATAATCTGAAGAAATATTCAGTGAAATAACTTCATTAATGGTATTAATTCAGATTTGCTTTCTGAGGGGTTTTATAAACAGTTACACAAAACTTTATAATTTATAAGCTTATTTTCAAGTCTTCAGGGATGAACCTATCACAAGATTTCCTGCTGGTCAGCACTATTCCCCACGTAGAAGTGCTTTCACATCCAGTCTTCCCTTGCTTTTTCCTCCAGTGGGTATAGAAAACTATTTGAATAATGCATATTACTTTCCATATTCTTTCAATAGAACATTGCATACTTAAATCGTTAAGATGGATTCCTGGTATAGAATCAGAACTTTAAGAAGAAAGGAAACTTTTTGTAAAACCTACAATAGTAGCCAATGTCTAACTGTATTTAGTGTATTCAAAACTATATTTAAAATTTTAGTAATCATCAAACAATACCTTCCAAAGAACTGCAGTTCTTGTTTTTTGTTAAGACGGCTTCATTTTCAGGCTTCCTTCACCAAAGTGGTCAAGTACATGAAGGACATCTAGATATTAATTGAATGTGGTGATCAAGTCAGTGTCCCTCTCTTCCTTAACCACAAGCTGTATGACCTCACCCTCTGTCCTTCTGAAGACTCTCCTTTCTATGCTTTTTCTAATATCTTTCTCTTTACGTTCATCCCAACTGACAACAAGCCACAGTGTTGGATAGATACCATTAGGTTTCCACTAAGGTTTTCCAGTCATTTCTGTATTCCTCCAGTCAAGAAGCTATAACTGGCTCCACCAGAAACTAAAATAGAGGTCATAGCAGTAGCAATGACTTCCCCTGCTGTTTGCTAAATTTAGCTGTTCAATATTTTCCACTCTAACAAAAACTGTGAACTACAATTACAGAATGTTAGAACAGAATGAGAGTTTAAAGGTCATCGAATTTAACTGCCTCATTTTCCTGTTGAGGGTGTGGGGGGCCTAGACATAATCCGAGATTTGCTTGAAGCCAGAGAACTTGTTAATGGTGGAGATGGAACTCCAACTAAGATCTGTTTAACCCTGGTTTGAGGCTGACCTCACGATACCACAGATACTCTGCTTCCTGTGGTCACTCGAACCTAACCAGATCTTGAAGCATAAATATAAGCTGATATTATTGGTTGTGGCTTACTCTCCAGGGCTATTCATCTATTTGGTGGCTAAGTGTGAAATAGCAAAAATGTCTGACTTATAAGTTGCTACAAAGAAATGAAATGATTTTATACCCAAACCCTGCCCCCAACTCTAAAAACTTTCTGCTTTCTGTTCATCAATAATGAATGGCCCATCCTGCAGTACTCAATACTCGGAGGGAGCTTACATTGCACTTTCAAGCAGCCGGTTAGTAATGTACAGTGGATAGAGCCTTTCTTTCAAATCCCAGGGCAGCAGGTCCTTCAAGGCTAGCATTGCATTTTCAATTAGCTGCTGAGTGAATGCCTGGCATGTGTATGAGTGAACAGGCACACAATTAGCTTATTGTTCCTTTCCATATTGTGCTGAGAGATCCAAGGGATTGGTGGGGAGACCAGGCAAGCCAAGCATCATTGTGGATGTTGAAGAAGGGAGTTACTAACCGCGGCATCTTCATTTGCTCAGCCTGGAATTACAGCTATTTATTTCTAAGCACTGTGTGTGGCTTGTGGAGTGAGCCTGAGGAAACACACTCCAGATTCACTTGGGGTTAGTCCTTCTTAGCTCTTCACATCTCTGATTAATTATCATCATTAACATGGAGCCCAATAGCCCCAAAAAGATCCAGTTTGCCGTGCCTTTATTCCAGAGTCAGATTGCACCGGAGGCAGCAGAGCAGGTAAGTAGAATTGGGCGGGGAGCAATTCCTGTATGTAAAGTGATACAAATGTGCATTCTAAGTAATCAAAACGTTCTCTACCTCTTCAATTTGACTAACTTTGTGACTTTTAAGATATGTGGAGGACTAAGTTGGTTTATGTATGCACTTGTATTTGGGTTGCAGTGGAGAACTATTGGATAAAATTTGAGCAGCACTTCATCTCATCCAAAATTAACACCATTGGGGAAACTGGCTATATTAGAAATTCCAATTTAAAATAAAAAATGTTTGCTTTTGCTTATTGAAATAATAGCTTCAACATTTAGAGCAACTTTGAAAGCATTTTCAAAATAAATATTTCTTTTTGTAAAATAAAAATATTGATATAACGATGGAAGCTTTAAATCCCAGAGTAATTTCAGATATAGTCTAAATATTTTTAAATTGCTTTTCAGTGTGTACCCCAAACAGTAATTGTATGTTATATGCAATAGCATATGTAAGTATATGCATAATCTTTACAACATTTTATTTAGATATTACTAATAATATGTTAGCAATTCCTAAATTCTTTTTCTGTGAATATGAAAGGTTTACGGCTGTATCACCTTTCATATTCAGATTTATGTATACTCTTGATGCAATGGCACCATTTGAAGGATCATCTGTGGTACAACTACAAAGGCAGTGTACTAGGAGCAAAAGCAAAAAAAAGTTCTGGGAACATCCATCTAATTCATCAATTACTTAAAACCTAAATTACATCTGAATTCTTTTCCAAATATTTTATGCAAAGTCTTGGAAAATAATTATTGAATCTGAGACATCTTTCCAAGATGTTTTGGAACTGAGTAAATCCAACAAGACTCGGGCCAGATAAACACAATCGTGGCTACGTTTGTCTGCTGAATGGAACATTGCTTCCATCTTGGACAAGATATCATTGGTACATTTTATCCTCTATTCTACTGACATATACTTTGGAAATTTAACTATGAATGAATATATTAGAGAAATAAAGGCTATCTGTAACAAGAGATTCTAATGACAGTGTCCCTGTAACTTCTAAAGTATGAAAAAGGACCCACCAAATTTCTTTGTTTAAATAAATAACACATTCTTATAAGACCCATATCCAAATTTGCTGATTTGTTCTAAATGTTATACTAGAAAATAAAAAAACTAATAATATTAATTGAAATTCAAAACTCATGTTATTAATTTAACTATGACGCATGCTAGAAATTTGAAATTTTCAAGTTCCTTTTATCCTAGTTGGAGATAAGGGTAATGGATCTTGAAATCCTCACCAATATTATGAGGCTCTAAGACAGTCATTAAAATTAGCAAGCTGTCCTACACCTTTAGTATATATTAACTTTCAGTTGTATCACTTGATTATATATAACTTTATTTTCTCTGCAAATGCAGCGATGTGTTAAAAAAAGATGTTAGGGATATTTGGCAGTTGTACTATCTGGTTTCTATTATTTAAAAACTAGTACTTATTGTGTGCTTACAGATATATTGTTTTTGGATATTGGGAAAAGATGAGGATGGGCAGCTTTGCAAGCTATAGAGTGACTGGGACCAGCGTTTGATTCTCACTGACATTAATTAGCTGGGTCTTTGTTCACAGATCAGAAAAAGAAGACCTACCCCAGCCTCACTTGTGATTCTCAATGAACATAACCCCCCAGGTAAAGAGGCATGATGTCTTTCTTATTGATGGGACAGAATAGGATTGTTAGAAGTGCATCAAAGAGCGTGTCCTTGCCATAAAGTTTCAATTCAGGATTTCAGTTAGCAATATTCTAACAAGTTAATTTATGAAATGGCTTATAAAAACAGAAGTAAATATCACAGGGAATAATTCAGTCAGCCTGCTTTTCTTCTAGGATAACAATTTGAAAATAATGTGCCGTGAAAAGTTTTGTTAGCATTGGTTGTGGGGTGTCCAGGTGTTTGTATGGAATCTGGTATAGTGTTATTAATGAGTCTGGTGAAAGTTGTTTAATTAGGTTTCAAGGTTCAAATTTCAGCCCTAGAGATGCTTATATTTTTATAGAGCACGTTTTTATTTATGTCATCAGGTGGGCAATGAGCCAGAATTGACTACAGCTTTACTGCTGATGTCATTGCTGAATAATGCAATTGACAAGTAACCAGATCAATTTTCAGGGCTGCCTATTTGAGAGCCATTCTGAAGAGTTGCATCCATTTGTTGAGGTTTTATTTCCCATTTCCTGTAAAAAGTAAAACCGCATTATTACTCCTGATAAGAACCATCATCTGCAATATACAAACAATATGTGCTGGTTGACTGGGGAGATTTTTGTCTCACATTTAAATGCTCCTTCTAGAAATATACATAGGACAGGAAAGATCATGATGTTACTTTCTAATCAGGCAGAATTTGGTGTTGGATTTTTCGGGGGATGAGTAATACAAAATAAGAGAGGACAAGAAGATTTTGAATACTGGGAACATAATAATCTAGTTATAGATTGTTGGAAATGGTCTGTTTTGAGACTACCAAGGTAAAATATTCTTTTACTTTTTTGAAATCTTTCTAAGTAGAGAAATACATGAAAAGAAAAGAAATATCTCACAGTGTATGCATCACTGAGCCAAAATACAAGAGAAGTTGTAGCCAATGAGAAACAAGTAAACTATTCATTCCTGGTAAAAACAAAGCATAATAATATGATCCTTTGTCTTTAAAATGGTGCAATATTTTAAAATCATCTTCAAGTATATCATCTCACTTAGTAAATGTTAACCTATATATGGTTCAATACCAAGTACAAATGATATATACTTTAGAGTTTACAAATAAATACAAGTAAGTAAATACAATGGCTACATCTTTACAGGTTGGAGATAATTTAATAGCAGTTTTCCATCATTGCATTGCTTACAGTACAAACATTTCCACCAGGTCCTGAAATTTGTTTCCTGTTAGAAGAGGATTGTCCAGTTTGATTTCTAGGTGTTCTCCAAACTGCTAGGAGCAGTTTTTTGAGTCCTGCAGTCATCATTACTGTTCAATGACTGAAGTAATTTAAGTGGCCTTTGTAGCTCTCATTTGAATTCCCAAAATAGTAGTGACTATTTTCTTGAGTGCAAATATGCATCATTTCACAAATGAGGAGGGTGTATACAGAGAGGAAAAGTGTATTTTTTATTCCTTTGTGGTACTGGGGTTTGAACCCAGGACTTTATGCTTGCTAGGCAGGTGCTGTACTACTTGAGCCACTCCACCAGCCTGATTTTTTTGATTCCAAAGAGAAACTAAAGATAATTCTGATCCTAAAATCTATGATTTTTCTATAGTATACAGTCCCTCTACATTTTTGTTTCCATTACAGGGTGACAGTTCCTACAAATAAGCAAACAAACTTTAAATAAATCCTTTGTTAGGAATGCTTAGGTTAGTGGACTAGGAATTATATTTAAATGCTTCTGGGAAACAGATTTAGTGTTTCTTTAGAAGCCTTTTTCTTACCAGGCTGCTTCATCACTAGATGACATTTCCCTAATTGACCTTTTCTCTCTCTCTCTCTCTCTCTCTCTCTCTGTTTATAAGTGCCATAAGATAGAAATTAGAAGCAAGTAGCATCTCACAGATGTTATTTTAGTAATATCTTTCTGCATCTTCATCCTTCATTTTTAGAGATTAAAAAAGTACTTTATTTACTGTCACATATAGCTTTCCTTATCATTGTTTTCTTTGTTTTTTTTAACATTGTAAATCTCTTATTCAAATTTTAAGAATGAGACCCCCTTTTTTAAAATTATTGTGCTGGGTGGGGGTAGATTGTGGCATTTACAAAAGTTCTTACAATATATCAAATATTTCATATTTGAATTTACCCTCTCCATCATTCTCCTTATCCCCCCCCCCATCCCATTCCTGGAACCGTTTCAACAGATATCATTTTTCCATTTACATACATGTGTATGCAGTAACTCACTATATTCACCCTCCCATACCTTTTCCCCACCTCTTCCCTCCTCATCAGTCTTTATGTTAACCAGAACAGTTTACGAGGGAATTGATCAGACTTTGCCTGTGTTTGGCGCTGTCATCAGTGTACATGAGAACCAGACATTTAGCAATAGTGATGATTCCTTCAGCAAAACCCCTAAAACTAAGATATTTCCTAGCAAAAATGAGCTAGCACCATGGTTACTAGGGAAACAACTCCAAAGATCCCTCAAACAACAACAACAAAAACCCAACAAAATTAAATGTAGATACTGGACTTTATTAATCATCTAGTCCTTATTTCATTATGTATAAAACAAGGACTCTAATGTCCATTCTTTTTACTCACTGAATGGTTGTGATGATAGAAAGAGTTAACTACAAAGTGCAACAACCTTTAGGGATAATTAACTGATGTGTTCTAGAATATAGCTTTGCAATGTGGTATTTAAGATTTAAGACATATTATAACAAGAAAAACAAAATCTTTGTAACTATATCTGTACTGAGGACTTCTGCCTTACTTAACGACTCTTTATGTTCCTAACATTATCTGAATAACAAATACTTCATAAGTATTAAATGACCTTTTTAATGCAACAGCTTCTATGGCCCTTCAAAGCAGTGTCCTTCAAGAAAATGGGTATAGTTTTAAGTCCTGGTAAAACTGAAAAGAGCCCAGGAAATGAAAGGATTCTTTGAATTACCCATAATTAATTCTAATCTCTAATCTCTGTAAATCTTTCTTTATGGTCAATTAATAAAGCAAAGAAAATTAAATTCTTCATTATAAATATATAATTAACAAACCCTTTCAATTTACATGAGGATATCTATGTATTACAGTCATAGCTTACTTTTTGTTTTTTATAATTTTAGGAGTTTACAGAAATAGCCAATTATGAAAGAGTATATATGTATACTTTCTGTAAAATCATGCGTATTAGAAAGGGCAATAAAATAGAAAGTTAGATTAATATGTAAATGCAGATTTTTTATTTGTTTGCTAGTTCATCCATGGTGATCTAAACACAGAGTGAGGTAGATACCTTATTGGTTGGATTCCAAGGGCAACAAAATGTCTCCTTAGTTCCTTTCTAAAGAATGACAGAATTCTCAGCAAGAGAAGCACCAGAAAAATAGGTACATAAACTTATTAAGGATACATACCACTCTGTGGATTTGCATGTTAGTTTAACTCAAAATGGTGGGAAATGGGAAAGGCTAACAGCCTTATGGTAGAAAGGACACAAAGTGTTTGCTTCTAGGAGTAACTCTGAGTAGTCAGATGGGAGCAACAAGGTACTAGAAGTTTGAGATCTGCTTTTAGGGAGTCAACAATGAGAAATGTCATCTTCTTCAAGTGTTTCCTGGAGCTCCCAACAGGAGCAACCTTGTGGCAAACTGCTTTTCCTATTGTAATTTCACTTTCCCTTCTGATTGAGCTTATCTGTTTAGGAAAATCTTTCTGAAGTTCTATCGTAGAGCATACTGCACACTGTTAGTTTCACTCTTCTAGAATATGTAGTTAACTGGTGTGGTCCTTATATTTTTGGCTAGAAGTAAACCTACATATAATATCTTCTCTAGGCAGTAATAAATGGCAAAATTGCTTTCCATAGCATTTACAGACTTACTTGAACATCTCTTGTCTTCAAGTACCATTATTTCACTACCAGTATGTTATGGCTGAGATTTTAAATGACCCCCAGAGGACCATATGCTAAAGGCTTGGTCATCAGTTTGAGGCACTATTGGGAGGTAGTGAAACCTCCTGATAGAAGTTAGAACCTGGTGGAAGGAAGTTAGGTTGTTGAAAGCAAGCCCTCAGAGTGGATATTGGGATGTCCCTCTCTTTGCTTCTTGTACATCATGAAGTAAGAATCTTTGCTTCACCATGCATTCCCTCTCTTGATGTTCTGCCTTGCTACATACAGACCCCAAACAATGGAGCCAAGCAACTGTGGACTGAAACCACTAAAGCCATGACCCAAAATAAATCTTACCTTCTAAAATATTGATTATTTTAGGTATTTTGTCTCCCTAACAGAAAGCTAATTAGCACACAGTATTAGGACTCTAAACACTAGAAAATGCTTAGTATAACCATGAATCTTCATGGAAGCATAAACTAATCCAAGTCCCTGAGATGTACTCCACTTAGTAAATCTACTTACTAGAGAGAACTGGAATTTCCAACAGCTTAGACTAATTCGGCTCCACAAACTGAAAGAGAAGCCACAGTTCATTTTATATGTAGCATATGACTTTCTAAATGGAGCATGCATTTCAGAGAAGAATCCATAATTATGTCTGGTTTTCAATGTCAGGTCTTATAATTTTAGGTGTTTGAAAATACAATTTCTTATGCCAAACTTAAGTATAAATTCTCCACTTTACAATAATTCTTCATTTATTCTTTTTAGTAAAAGTTCTGTTTCTTGTCTATTTAAAATACATGAAAGAATTCTTTATTATTTTCTTTTAAAAATATTTTTTGGTGGTACTGGGGGTTTGAACTCAGGACCTTATACTTGCTCGGCAGACACCCTACCACTTGAGCCATACCCACAGCCCTTTTTGCTTTGGTTATTTTTGAGGTAGGGTCTTGATTTATAAAGACTGGCCCTGACTGTGATCCTCCTATTTATGCAAGCCATGTAACTGAAATAACAGGCACACACCACCACACCCAGCTTTTTATTGGTT